ACACAATCACAGAGAGGACCACACAATCACAGAGAGGACACACAATCACAGAGAGGACACACAATCACAGAGAGGACACACAATCACAGAGAGAACCACACAATCACAGAGAGAACCACACAATCACAGAGAGGACCACACAATCACAGAGAGGACACACACAATCACAGAGAGGACCACACAATCACGGAGAGGACACACAATCACAGAGAGAACCACAAAATCACAGAGAGGACACACAATCACAGAGAGAACCACACAATCACAGAGAACCACACAATCACAGAGAGGACCACACAATCACAAAGAGGACACACACAATCACAGAGAGGACCACACAATCACGGAGAGGACACACAATCACAGAGAGAACCACAAAATCACAGAGAGGACACACAATCACAGAGAGAACCACACAATCACAGAGAGAACCACACAATCACAGAGAGAACCACACAATCACAGAGAGAACCACACAATCACAGAGGACACACAATCACAGAGAGGACACACAATCACAGAGAGGACCACACAATCACAGAGAGGACCACACAATCACAGAGAGAACCACACAATCACAGAGAGGACCACACAATCACAGAGAGGACACACAATCACAGAGAGGACACACAATCACAGAGAGAACCACACAATCACAGAGAGGACCATACAATCACAGAGAGGACCACACAATCACAGAGAGGACACACAATCACAGAGAGAACCACACAATCACAGAGAGAACCACACAATCACAGAGAGGACCACACACAAAATCACAGAGAGGACACAAAATCACAGAGAGAACCACACAATCACAGAGAGAACCACACAATCACAGAGAGGACACACAATCACAGAGAGGACACACAATCACAGAGAGGACCACACAATCACAGAGAGGACCACACAATCACAGAGAGAACCACACAATCACAGAGAGGACCACACAATCACAGAGAGGACACACAATCACAGAGAGGACACACAATCACAGAAAGGACCACACAATCACAGAGAGGACACACAATCACAGAGAGAACCACACAATCACAGAGAGAACCACACAATCACAGAGAGGACACCACAATCACAGAGAGGACACACAATCACAGAGAGGACACACAATCACAGAGAGAACCACACAATCACAGAGAGGACACACACAATCACAGAGAGGACACACAATCACAGAGAGGACCACACAATCACAGAGAGAACCACACAATCACAGAGAGAACCACACAATCACAGAGAGAACCACACAATCACAGAGAGGACCACACAATCACAGAGAGGACACACAATCACAGAGAGGACACACAATCACAGAGAGGACACACAATCACAGAGAGAACCACACAATCACAGAGAGAACCACACAATCACAGAGAGGACCACACAATCACAGAGAGGACACACACAATCACAGAGAGGACCACACAATCACGGAGAGGACACACAATCACAGAGAGAACCACAAAATCACAGAGAGGACACACAATCACAGAGAGAACCACACAATCACAGAGAGAACCACACAATCACAGAGAGGACACACAATCACAGAGAGGACACACAATCACAGAGAGGACCACACAATCACAGAGAGAACCACACAATCACAGAGAGGACCACACAATCACAGAGAGGACACACAATCATAGAGAGGACACACAATCACAGAGAGGACACACAATCACAGAGAGAACCACACAATCACAGAGAGGACCACACAATCACGGAGAGGACCACACAATCACGGAGAGGACACACAATCACAGAGAGGACACACAATCACAGAGAGGACACACAATCACAGAGAGAACCACACAATCACAGAGAGGACACACACAATCACAGAGAGGACACACAATCACAGAGAGGACCACACAATCACAGAGAGAACCACACAATCACAGAGAGAACCACACAATCACAGAGAGGACCACACAATCACAGAGAGGACACACAATCACAGAGAGAACCACACAATCACAGAGAGAACCACACAATCACAGAGAGGACCACACAATCACAGAGAGGACCACACAATCACAGAGAGGACCACACAATCACAGAGAGGACACACAATCACAGAGAGGACACACAATCACAGAGAGGACACACAATCACAGAAAGAAACGGAGCATGGTTAGCGCTTTAGCTAATGAGGTCAGGGAGGCTAACCGCACGACAGATTGTGAACTGAGTATTAGCGTATTGTGGATGAAGTCGGGATTGTGTGTGTGTGTGTGTGTGCTAATATGTGAATGTGTGTGTGTGTGTGTGTGTGTGTGTGTGTGTGCGCTAGACAGTAGACGCACAACTGAGCAACCATCGCTAATCTGTGGAAGGGAGGGGGGTGGGGGGTTGGGGCAGATTAGCGAGTGCCCCAGTCCGCTGACTCAGGATTACCTTACTGTCACACCGAGCACACTGTACGGGGATACTGCATCGCCATGGCAACACGAGGGGGCGGAGCCGGGATGCACCAGGACCAGGAGAGGGACGTCTCCATAGTATTGCAATATTTGGGACACAATTCATATTATATTATAGCGATTATTCTTCCCCCGCCCCAAAGGCTTTTTTCTGTACTTACCGATAACAAGAATCAATATTGGATTTTTTTGTTTCGATGTTTGTCTCAACATAAAGATGGATAACGTACTAAAAATATGTATACAATGTAAAAATCCTCCGCTTTTAACGTTTTTTTCCAGTATAAAAATGGTGCCTCCTAATGTGAAGAATATTTTAGTGAAAATGCATGATTTTTTTATTTTATTTCAACAAAATCAAAACTAAATCTAAACTGTGTGACTAAAACTATACTAAACCTAAACCCTAGACCCTGCTCTCTGATTCAGTCTAGCAGTATACTGTAGTGCCATGGTTCATTGGTCACTATTGATATTGATGATTAATGTATACTATTTAACAGTTTTGATGCACTTTAGTGTTATTTGACTGAGTTTGATTATTGTAAAATGAGATGCATTCACTGTATTTAGTGCATATTGTAGTATGTATTATGAAATAGTGTTTGTAATGTTTAGATTTTGATTATGTGCACATAGACTTTTAATTGAACCTTGACTCTATTACTTAGGCCAGGAGGTTCCGGATGGCGAGCTTAGACCCGAACCAGAGTTGAGCTCCAAGAGAGACAACTGCATCCTCCTGCTCGGGTCGGGTAGGAGGCTCCTGTAGCCGCCCTTTTTTTCCCTTTTGATTTGATTTGAGGGGCTCACTTCACCTTGACTCACATTCACCCGTTAAAAACTCACACTTTGGAATATCTGAGCCCAACCAAACAACCGCTCACCAAACGAGCACTTGGATTACATTTTTGTGTTTTGTGCGTTTCGTGAACTCTCTGGCATTTGTGCAACCGTTGAAGTGGACAATTCCAGAAGCCAAACAGAACTCACTGTCTTGTCTATATATGTCAATTTGTTGTATGTCATTGTTTGTCATAGTCTCTTTAAATTCAATACATGTGGTGGTGCCATCTGCAAAATTCAACAGTGTTTCAGGGTGTCTCTCTCCACTCTTAGAGCCGAACTGGGACTTCTGATTTTTAGCCCAGAACTCGATAGTGTGTGTGTCAAATTATTACCTGTCCTGTAATAGTTTAGCGTAGCCACATGCTACATAATTCTTGGGGCAGGTCAAAAGGGCCAAATCAGGCCCACAAGACCATTTTTAGCAGCCCCTGAAATAATTTTTGATCATCACGATAACATTAAAGTGAAGCATTTGATGGAAATGGACGACTATGGCCTGTTATACTTAATTCTAAATTCAGCATAACATCAAGAAAACATGAACATGATTGAATCTGTAAATAAACATGTATTTGGAACCAAAGTTTAATAATAATCCCTTCAGAGGATGTACTTCCTGCGGCAGCTCTGGAAAGCCAAGCTGCCTGCACAGATGTTGGTGCAGTTCTACACGGCCATCATCGAGTCCATCCTCACCTCCTCCATCACCTCCTCCATCACCTCCTCCATCACCTCCTCCATCACCTCCTCCATCACCTCCTCCATCACCTCCTCCATCACCGTGTGGTTCGCTGGAGCCACAGTCAGGGACAAACAGAGACTACAGCGCATTGTGCGCTCTGCAGAGGAAGTGATCGGCCGCAGCCTTCCATCGCTGCAGGACCTGTACGTCGCCGGAGCTCGATCCCGGGCTGGTCGTCTCACAGCCGACCCTTCTCACCCTGCACATGGACTATTCCAACCACTCCCCTCAGGCAGGAGACTGCGGTCCATCAGGACTAGAACCTCCCGCCACAAGAACAGTTTCTTCCCCTCTGCTGTTGGACTACAAAAAACACTTGAACACTTCTTAACCTCCCCGCCCTCTAGAATTCCCCCACTGCTCTTTATAAAGTCACTTTACTTCACTGTACTACTGTCGCCTTACATTGTGTGCACCATGTGCACTTGTATATTGCATATAGTAATTGTAACTCTATTTTAATTTTTATTTTAAATGTATTCCTTAGAAGTGTTTTTTATTCTTTATTTTTTATTCTCTCTTTCTGACTGTTGCACTGAGCCAAAGCAATTTCCAAGTCTGTGACCTCCTGTTACTTACGTGGCAATAAAAATGATTCTGATTCTAGATATTTGGCCGAGTTTTAGTTGAATCTAAACCTGCCAGAAAATATCATCCAAAGTCACGTCAAATAATACTTTTGGCCCCAACCAGCTCTTAGTTTGACACCACTGCTCAAAAGACAGATGATCCGAACACTCCACATTCAACCTTTATCAATATATTAATAAACAGTGGTCTCTGCTCCTTATGGACCATGGTCTCTGTGTGTTTTGTATCATTGCATTTTCTGGTTTGATTCTCTGATCTGTGTTGGAGAATTGGCAGCTTTGTAAAGTCCTTGGAGATGACTGTTGTTGTGATTTAGGGTGATACAAAACAAACTCAAAATCTGTGAAAAGTCTTTGAAACCAGTGGTAACGTACCTGTCGTGGATGACATTGTTCCAACAGGACGCCACGATAACCACTCCAGCGGCGGTGGCCATGAGCGCGTGGACCGAGGACACCAGCCTGAGACGAGAGAGACAAGAGATATGAGAAAGAGACAAGAGATATGAGAGAGAGACAAGAGATATGAGAGAGAGACAAGAGAAAAGAGAGAGAGACAAGAGAGAGACAACAGAAGAGAGAGAGAGAGAGAGAGAGAAAAGAGACAGACCAGAGCGAGAGACCAGAGAGAGAGACCAGAGACAGACCAGAGACAGACAAGAGACCAGAGAGAGACCAGAGACAGACCAGAGCGAGAGACCAGAGAGAGAGACCAGAGACAGACCAGAGACAGACAAGAGACCAGAGAGAGAGACCAGAGACAGACCAGAGACAGACAAGAGACCAGAGAGAGAGACCAGAGACAGACCAGAGACAGACAAGAGACCAGAGAGAGAGACCAGAGACAGACCAGAGACCAGAGAGAGAGACCAGAGACAGACCAGAGACAGACAAGAGACCAGAGAGAGAGACCAGAGACAGACCAGAGACAGACAAGAGACCAGAGAGAGAGACCAGAGAGAGTCCAGAGACAGACCAGAGACAGACAAGAGACCAGAGAGAGAGACCAGAGACAGACCAGAGACAGACAAGAGACCAGAGAGAGAGACCAGAGACAGACCAGAGACAGACCAGAGACAGACAAGAGACCAGAGAGAGAGAGACCAGAGACAGACCAGAGACAGACAAGAGACCAGAGAGACAGACCAGAGACAGACAAGAGACCAGAGAGAGAGACCAGAGACAGACCAGAGACAGACAAGAGACCAGAGAGAGAGACCAGAGACAGACCAGAGACAGACAAGAGACCAGAGAGAGAGACCAGAGACAGACCAGAGACAGATAAGAGACACAGAGACACAGAGACACAGAGACACAGAGACCAGAGACAGACCAGAGACCAGAGAGACAGACCAGAGACAGACACAGAGACCAGAGACAGACACAGAGACCAGAGACAGACCAGAGACAGACAAGAGACCAGAGAGAGAGACCAGAGACAGACCAGAGACAGACAAGAGATACAGAGACACAGAGACAGACCAGAGACAGACAAGAGACCAGAGAGACAGACCGGAGACAGACCAGAGACAGACAAGAGACCAGAGAGACAGACCAGAGACAGACAGACACAGAGACACAGAGACACAGAGACACAGAGACCAGAGACAGACAAGAGACCAGAGAGACAGACCAGAGACAGACACAGAGACACAGAGAGAGAGAGAGAGAGAGAGAAGAGACCAGAGACCAGAGACAGACCAGAGACAGACCAGAGAGAGAGAGAGAGAGGGAGACCAGAGAGAGAGACCAGAGAGAGAGACCAGAGAGCAGAGAGAGACCAGAGAGAGACCAGAGAGAGAGACAAACCAGCAGAAGGCCACAGTCTGAGACATAACAATGAAAACCTTCTGTGGAGGAGTCAGGAGCCAAAACAACCACAACGACAGAGAACGCACCAAACTCCGAGGACACTTTTGGACAATAAAAACAAATGGATTCAAACTCATTCTGTTTTCCACAACTTTATCTGCTTTGCATATATTGTACATTAACAGATGTGTAGTAACCCATTATCTCTGTATTTTATACTGTAAATGTACATATTCACTAGGGTTTCATGCATTTTCCAAAAAAAAGAGATGTATCAAATCCCGGGAAAAGATTACTCAATTCCTGGGAATCCTAGGAAATAGCTGTTTTTTGTAGTTGTTGTTTTTAGCCCAAGTAATGTATGATATCACTCAAATATGTATAATATTAAACGTAAATCCATCAAAAGCTGCCATCTCCACTAGTGTTTCACTGAGCGACCTGCTATTTTACTAAAGTAGCCATCTAGCGTTTTCAGACGTTTTGTTGATGGGCTTTCTTCAGGAACTTTACGAGGCTGAGATTCTAAACGTCTGCACAATCCACTTGTCGACCCCAGAACACCTTGTAATCCGGTCACACAACACGCACTTTAAGTTTTCTTTTAAAATGCTCCCATAGAAAGCTAGCGGTAGATACTGCTACGTAGGTTACGGAATGCAACGTTACCGTAAAACAACAGTAGACGCACACTGGAATTTTTTTTAACTTTCATTTCCCGTTTCCCGTTTTAACATTTCCCAGGAAACGGGAAATAGTTTGGATAAGATTCACTCCAAACCATTACTATAGCCACAGATGCCCTGGGGCACACTGACAGAAGCGAGGCAACCAGTCTGTATCATCGACCCCTCCCACCACCACCAACCATTCACACACACACCAGACTCATTCTAATGTGTTTTATGTTTTCTGTGTATTTTCAATCTAGCAGTTCTAAGTCCAACACAAATTTCCTACAGGACAAATATGATGCATTTATTTACTTTATTTTCAGTTTTTTCCCAAAATATTTTGGCTCCAACATCAGGAGTTATGGAATAAACCGGAACTATGAGAACTGGGCCCAGAGAGCAACAAGATGTGTCAATAACAAACAGGATTGGTTAATGTTTAAACTTTTAGAGACTTTTGGTTTTGGGGAAGATAAGTCCAGCAGAATTTGTTTCCTTGATGAGTTTCAATGTTGGACTTTGAACAGAATTCACCAATAAAGTGTGACCGATAAACAGACCTAGACCAGACCTGGTCCAGACCTGGTCCAGACCTGGATCAGACCTGGATCAGACCTGGATCAGACCTGGATCAGACCTGGATCAGACCTGGAACAGACCTGGAACAGACCTGGAACAGACCTGGAACAGACCTGGAACAGACCTGGAACAGACCTGGAACAGACCTGGAACAGACCTGGAACAGACCTGGAACAGACCTGGAACAGACCTGGAACAGACCTGGAACAGACCTGGAACAGACCTGGAACAGACCTGGGCAAAGTACGGCCCAGGGGCTACGTCCGGCCCAATTCACATTTCCATGCGGCTCCCAGACCCTTCCAAGCTGATCCAAACCGGTCTGTTGCTTTTTAAATGAATCAGGAGTAAATACTTAATGAAGGCTCGTAACTTTATATGTGCTACTACGGCACGCGCGTCATAAATGTATTCTATTAGTAATAAACTCAAAATTATAATAATAGATTCAATTTTATAGTTATTAAAAAGTCAGAACAATGCAACAAAATGCAGTTTAGCGTCAAACCAGAAATGCAAAATATGTATTCATAATTTGCCCTGAACAAATACAAGAAAACACTGGATTTTGTACTTGATTTTTTTCTAAATAAAGGCTTATATATTTGTATACGTTTTAATACTGAGGTTGTTTTTGCAAAATTGAATAAATAATGAATCATGTGACATTGGGTCCGGCCCTAGACAGTCTTCAGGTGAAGGAGCAGGAGCAGATGCTGATGTGATCCTGGGATTAGCACTGCTCCACTCTGCTGCTAAAAACAGAGCCGTGAAACGAGAGAGTGGGACATCCCCAAATACACTCAGAGGACTCCCCCAGACTCACACTCTGCACCTCCTCTGGCTCAAACCATCTGCATCTGGGTCTTACCAAACTCTGGTCCATGATCCTTTCCTACATGTATGTCTGGGTCTTACCATGGGTCTTACCATGGGTCTTACCATGTGTAAACTCTGGTTCATGATCATTTCCTACATGTATGTCTGGGTCTTACCATGTGTAACTCTGGTCCATGATCATTTCCTACATGTACGTCTGGGTCTTACCATGGGTCTTACCATGTGTAAACTCTGGTTCATGATCATTTCCTACATGTACGTCTGGATCTTACCATGTGTAAACTCTGGTCCATGATCCTTTCCTACATGTATGTCTGGGTCTTACCATGTGTAAACTCTGGTCCATGATCATTTCCTACATGTACGTCTGGGTCTTACCATGGGTCTTACCATGGGTCTTACCATGTGTAAACTCTGGTTCATGATCATTTCCTACATGTACGTCTGGGTCTGATCCTAGTGGCTGCAGTTTCCTCGGTTGAATCCCCTCCGACCAATCAGAGAGCGGGGGAGGCGGGTGTTGTAGGTCGGTGTTGGTGACGTCAAGAGTTTGTGCTGAATTTGCTGGTTGTAGTTTGTCGGAGAATGCAATAGTAAAATAATCTGTTCTGGTTTAATTCAAATATCAAGAAACTGAAGCCGAAGCAAGAGGAATGTTTAGTAAATGTCATTGAAGCAAAGATGTTGTGGCTCTTCTGCCACGGGCTCCGTTAGTGGCAAAGGAGATGGCTAAAGCTAGGCCAAATGCTAAAGCTAGGCTAAATACTAAATTACATTACATACGTCACAGTAAACTCAGATCCAATCGTTTCAATCTGCAAAAGGAGTTAACCCCTCCCACCTGTTAACGGACTCAATGGAGCAAATCCAGACCTTAGGACCAAATGTAATTTGTACTATGGTGTGGTACGACCAGGCAAAATTTTCCCCATTGTGAGACGAATAAAGGATCTCTTCATCTTAATCTTATCTTTCTGCTTCACACTGAAGATCAAGAACAGTCAGTGACTCACTTCTTACTTTTATTACTCAGAGTAAAAAGAAGTGGGACAGGTGCGGCTTATAGTCCAGTGCGGCTTATAGTCCGGGAAATTTCGATATTCATAGTAGCTTCTGAGCGTCTCTGTTAAAGTTGTCAATAATCTAAATAAATCCTATCAAAGACGATTTGTTTGAGAGTGGATTAGCAGAGAAGGCCATCACTGTTAGAACCATGAATAAAAGTCTGTTCTAAAGTTAGTACCAACCGGTCCTGGGCACAGTCAGTGTTGGTCCAGACTGTCCGGGGGCTTACACAACCCCGGGTGGATAAAGCGGTTCTGCGGCCGTAGGACTTGACGGTGGAAGTGGACTTTATAAAGAGGCCGTGTGGAAATGGCCCGCGGCTGCCAGAGAACAATGGTCCATTCTGAGGCTGGTGAATGGTCCACTGTGACGGCACAAAGGCCAAACAAAGTGGCCCACAACAACAAGCAGCCATGCATCATTACACATTATATAGTCCGCTTCAAAGCCGCAAATATTACATAACCTCTGTGTTCCGTTTCATGTTTTAAA